CTGAATTAGTTAGTCAAATCTAAAGATTGGTTTTCAAACCTGACTTAAACTGGTCCCCATTGATTCCTAGGCAGAGGGTGGTGACAGGTTTTCTGTGGGAAAAACACACTGTGTTGGAGATGCCCTCTCATGGAGCAGTGCGCTGCGACTGGAGAGGTACGCTCGTTAACCCGTCTGTCCAATATGAAAACGAAAGTAAACAAACAAACAGAAAAATCCTCATAGTTTCTCTCCTAACGTATAATGTCTAGCAGAATGACATGAACTCAGCATAGGTTGAATTCAGTGGTCCGCACTCAGGAATGCCTTGAACTCTGCGTAGGACAGCTCCTTCAGGTTTTTGCTCCATCCTCCTCTTGCCGTGCTCCAGCGGTGTTGGGACATCTTTACTTCTATCCACTCTCTCTCATCCACCTGTAAGTGCACGCCCAACTTCTGAAATGCAGGTAGAGCCTCTGTAATAGTCATTTAGATCTTCTTGTTATCCATTATTATTTTAAGCCACGCTTGGTACAAGCATTTTGCTTTTATGTTTTTCAGTTTTAACTGTTTGATTTCGAGCCACACAGACACTTGCTTTTTCTGAAACTCTGAGGAGTAATCATGCTTAAAGAAAATCTGCTTTTCTTCATACAGAACTTTCCTCTGTGCCCATGCCTGTCGCAGGACACTTTCTTTGACAGTAAAGGCCATGAACTCGACAGTCAGCGAGCGCGGAGCTGCAGTTGGGTTCTTGGGCTTTGCAGTGAATGCTCAGTGTGCCCTTTCAACATTGAAGCTGGAGCGCGCCCTGGAGTAACTCCTTTACAAATGTCTTCACATCTTGACCTTCACATCCTTCGGGAATTCCATATATTTTTAACTGTTTCTCCTCCATCTATTTTGCATATCGTTGCATTTGGTGGTAAGAGCCGACTCTCTATGGAGCAGGTATCACAGCTCCCTCTCATGGTGGCTCACTGTGTCCTCATTAGCACTCTTGTAGTCCTCCACCTCTCCGGCCCTGTTTTCTAATGTGATTTTGTCACCTAGCTCTTTAAAAGATGTTTCCAATCTTGTCAAAGAGAGTTTGGTTTGAGTATGTCCCTCTACGTTCTCTTTTCTCAGTCTCTCCATTTTGGCCATTATCTTAGACTCAGAGTCAGGGGCGTTAGCACTAGGAGTTGAACGACTACATAAATTTTAAACTCGACCTTAACATATACTACTCGAGTAGAACTCGAGTAGTTGATGATGTCATAGGATCTCAATATGAAAAAAATAAATAAATAAAACCACCAAAAAAACTTAATTTATTATTTACAAAAAAAGCCCAACAAAACATTGGGAGCATGTATTATGCTACCATTTATCATACTGCAAATAAGTAACAGGAAAACCAAACCTATTAGTTATTATTATTAAACTGCAAAAGTGAAAGAAACGTGAAACGTAAAAAACGAAACTAAAAACCGTGGGGCGGACGACAACCCCGCACCACTGCCAGCTGTGGTGTGCATTAGGTTTAGTTTTAGATATTAATATGTTTATAGTTTTTTTTATATAGGTTTACAGTAGGAATGTGCGATATGGCACAAAATTCATATCACGATATGTATTGTGAAGGGTGGCGATAATGATATATATCGCGATATATTTTGAATTAAGAAAATTACACTACTAGGTCCAGAGAGTTTTTAAATAATAAATCAAGTATTAGGCTTCTTTATTGTAGTGCAAAACAGTGCAAAAGATATCAAATCTAGTTTGAGCCATATGTTTTAAACAAAATAATATGTTGTTAACTCTTAACAGTTTCCAGTCTTAAGAAAAGAACAGCAATAGAGCAGCATTTTACACTGAAACACTTCATCCTCCAAACCTCTAGTTGGCGACTCCTTCCGCTTTAATGGAGCGCTGACACAAAATGAGTCTGTGGCTTTGACCAGAGGGTCTCGCAGTAAAATCACACAACACTGCGTTCTTTTCACAGATCAGAGAGCAGGTTTCTCTAAAGCTGACCAACGCTTACTTTAACTTTCGATGGGAAAAAAAAACAACTTTCGACGGAACTCAGCATTTTGCGCATGCGTCCAAATATGACAACACTACGGCAAGCTGGGCGTAGTTAGCTTGTAGCTTCGCTACTTAGCCCTCGAAGAAAATACTTTAACGCCACTTACACACAGTTTTCAACTTAAAAAAAAGTAACGATAAAACTGACAACTCTGATTTTACTTCAGACACAGCATTACTGCGGTTAGCCGGTAGAAAACAGATCTCTATCGTAGGCTAAATTTCTATCGTTTCTACCGTGTACCATTTATATCGCGCATTCCTAGTTTACAGATTAATATTTTTTGCTTTTAGTTTGTGAAACAAGGTCAGAAGGAAGCTGGTTCTGATTTGGTCATTGGACCTGGTGTTACACCATATTCTGTGACCTGCAACAGTGCATGCAACACCGCCCCCTACGGTCACAATATACGGTGGTCACAGAATATGGTATAACACCGGTTTGCAACAAGCTCCAAACAGTCAGGAAGTTGATTCATTGTCTGTTTCCTTACGGTATTTGAACCGGAAGATTCATCTTTAGTGAAATATTTACAGACTATTGATGCATTTCTACCAGTTTGCCAAGACTGGACCTGCTCTGCTCCATCCGTCTGCTGGGAGGAATCCATTTGGTAGCTTCTACTAGTAGCCCAGTGCGGATCACGTGACACGTGACACAATGACGTAACTGCGACATAATGACGTCACAGCGAATACTCAATGTGACATTTAAAACTCGATAGATGTCCTATGAATCGACCTGTCGATTACTCGAGTAGTCTGTTAAAGCCCTAGTTAGCACCTGCTGGTCCACCCGATGTATCTTGTAGAGTTAGCTGTTTCAAATATTCACCTTTGTCCTTTGTTTGGTCCTGTTTGTTTGGACCATTGCTTCTTACAGATGATGCCATATTGTGTTTGTCAAAAATTGCTGTTTTGCAGTAGTTTTGTTAGGGAATCACTTTAAATGGACGGAGCCTGTCTTCAATGCTGCTACCCTCCACATGCCGCCACAAGAAGTCTTGTGTATTTATTTCAAGATTCAATATTCTTTATTTGCCATACGCACCTCATGTGGTACATGTGGTGGAAAGAAATTGTGTACACAGGGTTCAAGTTACATCCAACAAAAGTATAAAATGTAAAAGGGGGAGTGGTGGCGCAGAGGTTAGAGAGGTGGGCTTGTGATCCGAAGATCGCCGGTTCACGCCCCGGCCCCGACAACATCAAAAATTGTGGGTGGGGTAGGTGAAAACACCCACACTTGCCCCCACCCTCATTCGCCCCACCCTGGGCCCATGAGCAAGGCCCTTAACCCCCACCATGTGCTCCCTAAACAGGTCTCTCTTGAAAATGAGTTCTCGTGGCTCAATGAGACTAACCTGGATAAATAAAGGCTAAATGAAAAAAAAATAATAAAATGTAAAAGAAAAACAGTAATAAGATCTAAGATATAAACTTAGAAAAATGTTAACTAAAAATTTGCTAAGCACTAGTAGTACAAAAACAATACGCTGAACAGCAGCACGAATATGAGTCTGTGTGAACAGATGAGTACAAATAAACACAGCAACATGAAACAGATCAGCAGCAACATGAAACAGATCAGCAGCAACATGATGTGATTTTTCATGGTGATTATTCTGGTTAGAGATTCATGAGTCTAACAGCCTCAGGGTAGAAGCTGTTCCTCAGTCTAGTGGTTCTACACTTAATGCTCCTCAACCTCCTTCCTGAGGGGAACGGGACAAAAAGTGTGTGTGCTGGGTGAGTGAGGTCCTTCATGATGCAGGTGGTCCTCTTCCTGCATCTGGAGGTGTAGATGTCTGTGATGGTGGGGAGGCTGACTCCGACAGTCTCCTGTGCAGCCTTCACCACTCTCTGCAAAGCTTTTCTTTCTGCAGCTGTGCAGCCTCCATGCCACACTCAAATGTCATTATCTGTCCACTAATTTAGGTCTACACTGCACTTGTTTACAATTGGTTACACTAGTTGCACATTTTGGTACATTAGTTAAAACAACAACATTATTTTAGCCAATTAGTGCCTCTTTGGGCCAAGTGATTGGAGCACATTTGACCCAAAGGCCTAAAGTGGGTCCATCAGGTCCTCTGTCCATCTGTTCATGTTGAGTATGATAACTTGAAAAAAGGGGTGGTTCCAACCTTGGAGTTTGTGTGTGTGGCTACATCTATGTGTAAGAAAAGTCACTATCAGAAATTGAGTTGCCATGTCAAAATCCAAGATGGCTGTTCCCATATATAAAAATAAACTGGCCACTCCTATGATATGAGGAAATTATGGTTTGTAGTTTGCATAAAAGTAAACAAAGTTCATGCTCAATCATCCAGGCACCAAATCCAATAATTCTCAGTCAGGTCATCTAGACAGTTTTTTTTTTTTATATATATATAGAGACGTTTCACCCTCTATCCAGAGAGCTTCATCAGTCTGAGGAATTCCAGTAAACTGTTTCCCCACAAAGCAGGAAACTCGTTAAGTGGACCAACCAGTTTGCTGGAGCTAAGATGCATAAAAATAGTTTCCTCAAATGATTGGGGTGGCCAAAAATTAGCTATGATGGCCAAGGCCTCCATCGTACACTCTCTGGCTCCTCCACTGCACCTGGTGGTGGATAAAATTGCTCCCTCCAATCGCCAGGATCCATCACTCTGCACCGCCTCAGGCAAGAAAACAAAACCAAAACCTCCCTCTGTTCTTCTCCACAGTGTAATTTCTACCCACTTGAATATCGTGCACCAAAAACATTGTTTACTTACATTCCCTGTTCAATTCTAGGCCAGAAAACACTCACCACAAAAACTACAAACATTCATTATTCAAATCCCTTAGTGATGGGGGACATTGGTGTACCTCTTGCTTTTTTTGTATGAACACTTTGTTAAAACAAGAACATAAAAACAGTTGAAAAATTAAGCACACAGGGTTACATGTTTACCTGCATGCAGGTGTTTGATGAAGAAGGCAGCGATGTAACTCCACAGCCGCTGTACCAGGCAGACCCAGGAACAACACAGAACACCATCAGCAGGCTCTTGGTTGATGAATGCTCTGTTGAGCAGACAACAGCCACCGGGAGCTTCACCATGCCTTTTTCCAGGTATGACAACACTTTGCTTTGTATATATATATATATATATATATATATATATATATA